TGGTCTGGAGTTGCTGGGCAAATAGTCCACGTTCTGAGTACTCACAGGAGAGCAGGTGGCTGGTGGCCTGGGTGTGTAGCGGAGTCCCTGTGCCAGTGTAGCAGGCCTTCAGACGTAGGCCATGCACTCAGGTTTTGGTGTTGAAATGGCTGCAGGAAGGTTATTTCTAGTCTGAGGCTATAAGAGCAAAGAGCAACCATGTTCTGGGCCCGAGTCTGCTCAGGCTTTGCCAAATGTCCTCCTATCCTCTCGGCCAACTCCCTGTTCCTGCCTGCAGTGTCCCTCCAGCTCCCTCTACCGAGACAGCTTACCACCGTGCTCATTTACGGAGAAAAAGAGGAATTCAGTTGTTTATCACAGAGCACATACTAAAGGTACGTTCTGAGCTAGTCGGCAATAAACTCATGAGTGATACACATGCTCCAAACACCGTTTGTCAGGGAGAGTCCTGTCCCTTTTAGGAGCTCACCCAATTAGGTCACAGGCACTCAGGATGATTGCCCTTCCTCAGGCCAGCTGTATGACATAAACTGATCACAGGCACGGCCGCCATCGTACTCACTGCCTTGGGTTTAGACCAGGTATGTGTGCCAGGGGTTGGGAATCCTGGGGCATATCCTAGAATTCTGCCTACCACAGAGGGGTGGGGGCAGGAGAAGAGGTGAAGATGAGGATGACTCAGTGCTACATGAGAAAGTCCTCTGTAAAGTACACAGGTTGTATTTCATTCCGTGCCTGCATACATTTTAGCTGTCTCACAAGAAAGAGAAGGAATACAAGTATTTATTAAACATCTATTTGTCAACGACTTCGCAGAGCACTTTCATATATTTTCCCTGTATTTCTTAACATCTTGAGGCAGGAATTATTATCTTTGTTTTATAACGGAAAACAGAGGCTTGGGATTGTAAGGCCATTTGCCTGGGACAGTCAGCTAATATTTACTACAGCTGGATTAAAATCCAACTCTGCCTAGTACTGAATCCCGCATTTTCTAATAGCATCCAATAATGTGCTGCCCTTGACAGAATTTGTGTCATTGGATTGGGAGGAGGACAGAGGACAGAGATCATCTTGGGGGAGATAGGGCAAGTCGCTCTTCTTCGCTGTCTCTTAAGGAACCTGCTGATAGAGGTCACTTATGTCATGGCCATTGCTGGAGGGACAGTGGATCAGAAGGGAAGTCCTTGCCAGTCCGCTCCATCAGGGGAGCTGGGCATTTATCTGCTTGATCTGTGCTTCACCAGGAAGTAATGATACCTCTCTGTTTTCTGTTCTCATATCTGAATGTGAAACAAAAGAACAAAGCAAGACATGAGAGGACTGGGTATAGAGCCTTTTCTGTGGAGGAGGGCGTACTTTCTGGTTGGAGGATTCTGAAAATGAAGAGCTGAGCTCATGACAAGTGGCCAGGGGATGTGTATAGAATGAAACCTCCCGTGCGTCTCTCTCCCAAAAGCACAGTCTCCTGCTGTCCTGGTTTGCCTCTCACAAGCTCGGGAGCCCCTTAGGGCTTGGTCCCTCTTCTCATTTCTCTCTGCATCCCCTGAGCCTGACGTGGAGCATGGAGTTGGTAATTAAGAGAAAAGTCAGGAAACTTGTCTCTGCCTGGTACAGTGGGTCCCCATCCAGCCCTATCACTGATTCACTCGGAGGATTTTGCTCCCTAGGGTTTAGTTTCCTCAAAGTCTAGAATGAGAAACATGGACTCAACTTCTGGGCCATTCCAGCTCTGCAGACAGATGTCACCGCACCATGGCTGGACTTCAGGATATGGGGACATGCGGAACGGTTTGGGCAGATTTGAAGGGTACATTTCATTTTCTCTCCTTGGACACGTGAAGTAATAGATTCATTGGAATATGACCTCTTCCTCCACCCACTTCCATCAATTCAGACTGGATTTTCCCCCCTCCCAGTTCTCCACTGTGTTTCTTTGCTTTAAAGGAAAATTTCAAGCCATGCAGGACTTGGAAGGGCAGAGCTCAGCTGGTCAGAGGGGGACAGTTCCTCCATGAAATTTCAGATGAACCAGCCTGGGCTGTCTCCCAAGGAACTTTCCCGAACTGTGGTTTGTTGGGGTTTTTAAATGAGGTGTTTTGCTTGAATAGAAACATTAAAAGTAGTATGTAAAATTAAATTCACAAAAGTTTCTCAACACTAATCTGCGCAAGCAAAGAAGACTTTGTTCTTGCTTCTAGATATTTTTCTTTTTTTAAAAATTTTTTAATTTATTTATTTATTTATTTATTTATTTTTTTTTATCCTCACTCGAGGACATTTTTCCATTTTTTGTTCAGATAGAGCGGGAGGGAGAGAGAGAGAGGAAGAGAGAGAGAGAGAAACATCGATGTGAAGGGACACATCGAGTGGCTGCCACCCACACGACCAACTAGGGCTGGGGACAAACTGCAACCGAGGTACATGCCCTTAGCGGGAACCGAACCCGGGTCTCTCTGTACCGCAGGCTGACGCTCCAACCGCTGAGCCAAACCGGCCAGGGCAAAAATTTTTTAATTTATTAATTTGTTTTTGTTACAGATGTTTCTCATTTTTCCCCCATTGACACCCTCCTTCCCTTTGTCCCCCACCCCATCTCCAGCTTTGTTGTCTGTGTTCATTGGTCATGCATACGTGCATGTAAGTTCTGTGGTTTATCTCTTTCCCCACAAACCCCTCCTCCTCTGAGGCTTGTCAGTCTGTACACCACCTCTATGTCTCTAGGTTAATTTTGTTCAGCCGATTGTTTAGTTCATTATATTCCACAAATAAGTGAGATCATGTGATATTTGTCTTTCTCTGCTTGGCTTGTTCTGCTTAGCATAATACTCTCCAGGTTCTTCCATGTCATCTCAAAGGATAAGAGATCTTTCTTACAGCTGCATAGTACTCCACTGTGTACATGGACCACTAGATATTTTTTTTTACTTCATGTACCAAAAGCTTGTCCTGGATTTAATCAGTAATCAGCAGATTGGTTTTTTTTTTTTTTTTTTGGTTAATCCTCACCTGAGGATATTTTTCCATTGATTTTTTTTTAGAGAGAGAGAGAGTGGAAGAGAGGGAGAAAGAGAAACATCAATGTGAGAGAGACACATTGATTGGTTGCCTTCCACACAGTCCTGACTGGGGCCAGGGATCAAACCTGCAACCCAGATGCTTGCCCTTGATTGGGAATCGAACCCATGATCCTCGGTCCTTGAGCCAACACTCTTTAACTGCTGAGCCAAACCAGCCTGGGCAGCAGATTGGTTCTTTATTCCCTTAACCCCCAGATCAATTTAGGTTTTGCTAAATTGATGCTTTATGAAATGTTGGCAGTACTTCAGAAAGTAACTTTTGTAGTGGGAACATTCGTCTGACTGGGTTTCTGTTCAGGAGCTGCTGCCACCTAATTAGTATTGTGACCACAGGCAAATTGTTTAACCTCTCTCTGCCTCAGTTTGCTTAGCTGTATTATGGGAGAATTAAAAGAATTGTTACATGTGAAGCAGTGTTAGTCTTTTTTAAAGCTCGCTGGGTCATGACAGTGTGCGGCCAGGACTGAGAACCTGTACAGCATCATAGGAAGTGGGGGGAGCTGGTGTTTCATTCAGTGCTATACGTTTTGGTGAAGAAAGGAGACAGAATGTAGTTTAGGTCCTAACATACCTTTTATTCCGATGGCCAGGCATTAGCCAGTTATTTCAGAAAGGACGGACGGCTGTTTTTGCAGTCAGTTCCTCTTGCCTGCTGGGATCGGGGAAGTCCTAGGTCCGCATGGAATTTTCCATGACTGAGCTCTGCACCGTGAGGTTCGCTGCAGCCAGAGCTTTCCGGTGTGTCTGCCTGCCTGCCCTCCCCTTTCCTTCAGCACAGGGTCAGGTGGGTGCTACACCCCAGCTACACGTCTTGCTATTTTGTTTGTGTTTAGTACTCTAGTTCTCAGGACAGATCAGAGAATCTCATCTGAATTAGCTTTTTGTTTATAAAGTGAGTCAGCGCGAGGTATCTCTTTTTGCCTGATCTGCTCAGGTGTCATGTTACCTGTTACAAAACTACCTTTGGGGGGGCGGGTGCACTGTTTCTGTCGGTGCAGGCTTCTGGTGCAGTGCTGGTTATTGGTGATCAGAATTGGCTTTTTGATCTCTTGATTGGAAGAGTTCTAAAAATGACAGCAAATGAAATAATAGAGATCCAGCCAGATAATAGCCTGGTTGGGTTTGGCTAATTTCCTTCTTACAGGGGAATTCAAGGTCCTAAAATTGTTTTGGTTCTAGCTCAGTGGTTCTCAAACTTCATTGGGTATATGAATTACTGTATCAGGTGTAAAACCATTAGCAGAATAAGAAAATGTTAAAGACAGTGTGTGCTCTTTCTCATGTCCAGCCCTGAGGTTCTGTGTAACACCCTTGTACTTCCTGCATAATTCGTCCATGATACAGAGGAATACCTTGTCACTTAGAGACTGAAGTGAGCAGGCTTGTTAATACCCATGTGGCTCAGCTTTCCTGGGGCTCATATTTTAGTGGTGATGGTGGTTAGAGAAGGGGCACTCAAGCGTTGGAGCCTAGTTGGGAGATGGTGGGCTGAAATTTAACCTGGCTGTACCGTACAAATTGGTGTGTCCTGTGGGTTGTGGGTCTTAGCATTTGGAAAATGGATAAAGTAACACCCGTTTTTCCTGAGCTAGAGATTAGTAAAAACACTCAGCGGTAAAGATATATGAATTCAGGAAATCTTAGATACTGAGAATTCAGAAAATACAGAGAGAGCTGTACTGTGATGAAGCCTCGCTGCTTTGTCATATGTGTCGAAAGGAAGGCAAGGTGTGTCCCGTGAAACGTTTCATCAGCTATCAGTCGGCTCCCTTTAGCACAGTATTAACATTTATTGAAGGTGGATCTGAACAGAGAAGACCTACGTTTCACTAAAGCTCTTTTCCGTCCTAATTGAGGATGGTTCTGTCCCACATGATTTCACCACTTTTCGTTGTCCTTCCTCCCCCACTATTCTTTCAGTTGGCTGATTGCAATTCTGGCCCAGCTCAACCCTCTCTTTGGACCACAGCTGAAAAATGAAACCATCTGGTATCTCAAGTATCACTGGCCTTGAGGAAGAAGACCCGCTGCCCAGTGCTCGGCCATGGAGGTGACTATACCCTTGACCTTTCACATCAGTGTTGTCAGTCACTCGGCTAGAGTTCGCCTTGATTTTTTCTCAGACCCGTATGGCCATTCTAACGCTGGGCGAGGGCCGGCTGCCGGAAGCACACACGATCTGAAGAGCAGAGATGAATCTGGAGCTTAGGTTGTTTGCTTCACCAAAGGGTTTGTCCATAAGGTTCTTTTAAAGCCCATTAGTACCCTGCCATTTAATTCGTTTGCAGGCTGTCTTTTAAACACAGCTCAGGAAAGCGACCATTGGTAGTTGGTATTGCAAGACTCAGCAGCTTCAAGTAGTGGCCGGCAGACTGGAAGTGAAGAGCATTTCTGACTGCTCTGGATGGAGAGAGACAAGTGTTTTTTGAAAATTGGTCTTCAAATTGCAGCTTTTATTTGGTTCTGAGGATCAGAGAGGTCAGGAGTGGTGGAGCGGAAAGATTTGGTCACCGGCTGACAGATGGAAAACCTGTCGTTCAGTTTGTTCCTCTGTCTCCATCATTTTGATAAAAGGAAGTTAGCGCTGAATGCCTGGCTGGATTCTGGTGCAGCTTTGGGGCAAGGGCACCTCTTTGGTGAACCTCCCGTTGCCTGACAGGAGGCGCACTGTGTCTGGCTCCCCGCTTTAGGGATGTGAAGGTGATCAGTGGGTTCGGGGAAGGACAGCCTGGTCCTCCAGTTGTGAAGTTGTCTGTCAGCCTTTCAGCCAGTGATTTTATCCACCAATGATTGTAGCCTGAATTAAGTGTTTTTGTAGAAATTGCAAAATGGTGATTTTCTGGTTCTATCATGATTTCTAAATTTCATTAGAAATCATGAAGATGAACTTGCCCTCATCAACTAGAGTTATTGATTAACCTTGAAATATAGATCATACAGGAAAAGCAGAATACGTATTTAATTTTTTTAATTTTCAAAGTAAGTTGTTGGTGCTTAAATTCCTTCTAGTGTATCCAGTGAGGTTTTCATTTTTCTTTCTTTTTAATTGTAATCAGTTACACTTACTATCTTTTTTATATTCAGTTGCTCTTTCTTTGGCCTATGGGAGCCTGTGTAGATGGGCTTTTATTTCCTTTTCATGTTCGTCTATGTCCTTTTCATCTTACTTTCTGGCAAAATGAAGATGTCCCAGACCCCTCTTGTATGTGTCCTGGCCCAGGCTTGGAATCCCCTGGTCCTCCAGTGGCTTTCTGAGTTTCCCACGGACGGGGTCCTGCTTCACTCGTCACTCCTCACGTCCAGCTGGCCCTGGTTCCTTCCGTGGCAGTGGTGTTTAAACACCAAGGTCTGATGCTCGGTGCAGCCTTTCATCTTGGGTGTGGTTGCCTCCAAGTCTTTACAGTGGACAGAGCCGGGAGTGTGTACTTTCAAGAAGGAAAAGGGTCATGAGTTCATGTTAGTATTTTAATTCAAACTTAACTTTACAGGTTTATGACTTCTTTGTTTTTATACTTGATATCATTCACATATGCTGAAGAGAGTAACTTAATTATTTACTTTTGTTTTCTCACAGTACATATAAAATAGTTTCAAAATAACACCAATATAACTACCAACTGTAACTTTATTGAGTGCAGTTTAGGATATCTTTCCTGCTTTATTTGTCCTTAAGGACAAATAAAGAACAGAATGCTTTTTTCTGAGGTAACTTGAAATAATTACTTTTTTCTGGTGGTTATCAATTTGATATGTAGTTAAAGTTTTATTTTGTGTTCGATTCATAGTAGTTTTTTTATTTGCTATTTTTGAATATGTAAAACATATTCCCAAAGTCAAAATTAGCAAGATATATTCAGAGAAATCTGTCCTTTCAGTGTTTCGTTTTGCCTAGGAGAAGCAAATGTGTACATTTGTGTGTGTGTGTGTGTGTGTGTGTGTGTTCATCCTCCCTGCACACACAGCTGTCACACTGTGTGTGTGTGTGTGTGTGTGTGTGTGTGTGTTCATCCTCCCTGCACACACAGCTGTCACAGAAAAGCTGTATTATGTACACTATTCTATAGCTTGCTTTTTTATTAAACACTGTAGCCTAGAGATTGCTCCTATCAGTGTATAGAGATCTTCTCAATTTTTTTAAACCATTGATGTCCTGGATTTTCTCAGTCTTTTGCTATTATAAATAAAGCCACAGTGCCATCCTCTGCATATGACATTGTATATTTTCGCTAGTGATCTTTGGGTTAGATGCCCTGAAAATGAAATCTCTCGGTTAAAGGTAAAAATCCTTTCTCTAGATATTTCCACATCCCCTTGGTTTTGCTGCTCCGTGCCCACCAACAGCAGAGCAGAATGCCTGACCCTCACAGCTGGAGCCGGCCAGTCTGATAGGGAAGCACTCAACTGTTTCCCTCTTTGCCCAGAGGCATTTTGATTTCTTTCTTACTAGATTTTATACAAAATCTGATTCATAAGATGTTTTTGCCTGCCTTTTTTCACAAGGTTTTCTAGCCTTCTTTTAACTATGGTGAGTGTAAGCTAAGGGTATCAGTTGGGCGTTGAAGCTGAGAACTTCAGCACTGCCTTCCTCTTACCTTCTCCTTCCCGTGTGATGAGCGAGGGGCCCTCCGGCCCTGAATGCTCGGCTGTGTGGATCTGAAGGTTCCCTCTGCCCATTCTTTTCAGTGTCGTGTGTGTTACCCGACTGATGAATTCCTAACGTCTGCACTCTGGTCCATAGCACCAACTGGGGCCGCTGCTTGAAACCTTTATATTAAAGGTTGTGAAATCCTTTTAAACCCACAGATATGTTTTTATTGATTTTTAAAGCGAGGAAGGGAGAGGCGGGGAGAGAGAGAAACATCAATGTGAGGAGAAACATTGATTGGCTGCCGCCCACACGCACCCTGACCAGGGATCGAACCTGAAGCCTGGGTACGTGCCCTGACCGAGAAGCGAACCTGCAGTCTTCTGGTGTGCAGGACGACGCGCCACCCATCGGAGCCACCTGGCCAGGGCTAAGGTTGTTCCCTTAACAGCAAAATGCCAGGAAGTAGGAGGCACCGCCAGGCGAACCCTAATTACGAACACCGTGTCACGTTTATCCTGCGTTTGAGGTCGTGATGCCGGCAGTCCCAGGACTCTAGGCCTTTGGAGTTACCCCATCGAGAGATCTAGTGTGTGTGCAGCATTGAGCAAGCAGAACTCTTTAGACAGGACTTCACTTTTCTTGGTGGTGTGAACTCAAAAGATTGAGCTAAATTCCCTTTTGAAGTTTGAACTTTTACACAACAGTGAGATGATGAAAGAGTGCAGAACCCAGATTTAGGCCCGTCTTCATCTGGTGAGGAAAAGTGTTTGATTTTTTTTTTTTTTTATTCTCGAGGACATTCTTCCATTTTTTTGTTCAGATAGAGTGGGAGGAAGAGAGAGAGAGAGAAACATCGACGTGAAAGGGACACATCGAGTGGCCACCACCCACACGAAACAACCAGGGCCGGGGGCAAACCGCAACCGAAGTACGTGCCCTTAGCGGGAACCGAACCCGGGTCCCTCTGGACCACAGACCGACGCTCTAACCGCTGGGGCAAACTGGCCAGGGCTAGTGTTTGATCTTGTACGTGATTTGTTTAAGGGCCCAGGTTTGGAAAGTAGCAGATGTAAGCTAGGCGTGGTCTTCAGCAAGAGGAAAAAGCAGTCATGAAAGCTTTAGAAGAATTTTATCCAGATGAAATCGACTTGATCTAAAACAACACAGTTAAACACCGAGTTCACCTTTTGCTACTTGAATCACTTTCCCTGCCGTGAGTTTCTTCCCTGTTCCGATGAGAGTTTGTGTGTGAGCACGTTCTGTTCATTGGCTGGAAGTCTTGCTCAGAGCTCGTCAGAACAGTGCTCACTCCACCTCTGCCCCTGCCAGCCTTGTCCCCCTTGCTCTGGAACTGTCACATCAAGGCTTCTGTTTTTGCTGATGTCCCTTTTTCCTACAGCCTCGGGGGGGTTACGCTAGTATGTAGTATCCTTGGAGTGGATTTGACTTTGGACCCAGTGTATTGGAAGTTAGTTCGTTTGTCACATCATTGTAATGTTAGATGAACTTACGTGGTGTGCCACAGCCCTAAAGGGCAGAAATTCTATTTTATTACAAAGTTTGGACAGGAGAGGGAGAGAGGGTATTGGTAATTAGGCCTCTGCCCTGGGGGTGCTGTTTTTCTATGCATTCCAGAAATATTTGAGGGCACATGAGGTACATATACTAAGTGGGGAAGGCTCTAAAGGGGTTTGTGATCTGTTCAGGGTGAAATGAAGTCATGCTTGTGACAAGTGAAACAGGGCGAAGGGTCTGCAGTTGAAAAGCATATCTGTTATCTGAGCTCTGACTTCATATGCTGCTGCCTCTTCAGACTCAGCCATGTCTCCCCTTCAGTTCCTGATGTCATAGTTTTCCCTGTCACCTAGGGTCAGAACTTCTCATCCTCGAATCCAGTTGATCTTGTTAATGTCTCTGTCTGTCCCTCCTTCAGATACCCTAATTTCTGACCGCAGCCACTGCAGCTCTGGTTCCTACAGTGGCTCCTCACTGTGTCTCCCTGTCTCTGCAGTCACTGTATCCACAAACACCACCCTGTTTACCTTCCTGGTGGAGCACTTCCTGAAGCAGACGCTGCGGGTCCTGGAGCCCTCGCTCCTTCCCCATGGGCTGCAGCAGGGGTTTTTAACCTGAGCTCCCTGAGTCCAGCCGGCACAGGTCCCTTGACAGGCTGCGTAACATGTCCAGCTCTGGGTCGGGGTCACCAAAGGTTCCATGAGCCACAAAAGATAAGAACTAAGCTGCAGGTTAGGTCCAGCTCTCCAACCTGGCGGTCAAGGCCTCCCCGTCTGCCCTCAGACCACCTTCGCAGCCTTCTGCCTTCCTGCTGACCGCTGGTTCCAGACCAGTGTCCTCATCTCCCCACCAGCTCACTGACCCTTCCTGCTGACCGCTGGTTCCAGACCAGTGTCCTCCTCTCCCCACCAGCTCACTGACCCTTCCTGCTGACCGCTGGTTCCAGACCAGTGTCCTCATCTCCCCACCAGCTCACTGACCCTTCCTGCTGACCGCTGGTTCCAGACCAGTGTCCTCATCTCCCCACCAGCTCCACTGACCCTTCCTGCTGACCGCTGGTTCCAGACCAGTGTCCTCCTCTCCCCACCAGCTCACTGACCCTTCCCGCTGACCGCTGGTTCCAGACCAGTGTCCTCATCTCCCCACCAGCTCCACTGACCCTTCCTGCTGACCGCTGGTTCCAGACCAGTGTCCTCCTCTCCCCACCAGCTCACTGACCCTTCCCGCTGACCGCTGGTTCCAGACCAGTGTCCTCATCTCCCCACCGGCTCCACTGACCCTTCCTGCTGACCGCTGGTTCCAGACCAGTGTCCTCATCTCCCCACCAGCTCACTGACCCTTCCCGCTGACCGCTGGTTCCAGACCAGTGTCCTCATCTCCCCACCAGCTCACTGACCCTTCCTGCTGACTGCTGGTTCCAGACCAGTGTCCTCATCTCCCCACCAGCTCCACTGCCCCTTCCTGCTGACCGCTGGTTCCAGACTGGTGTCCTCATCTCCCCACCAGCTCACTGACCCTTCCTGCTGACCGCTGGTTCCAGACCAGTGTCCTCATCTCCCCACCAGCTCACTGACCCTTCCTGCTGACCGCTGGTTCCAGACCGGTGTCCTCATCTCCCCACCAGCTCACTGACCCTTCCTGCTGACCGCTGGTTCCAGACCAGTGTCCTCATCTCCCAACCGGCTCCACTGACCCTTCCCGCTGACCGCTGGTTCCAGACCAGTGTCCTCATCTCCCCACCAGCTCCACTGCCCCTTCCTGCTGACCGCTGGTTCCAGACTGGTGTCCTCATCTCCCCACCAGCTCACTGACCCTTCCTGCTGACCGCTGGTTCCAGACCAGTGTCCTCATCTCCCCACCAGCTCACTGACCCTTCCTGCTGACCGCTGGTTCCAGACCAGTGTCCTCATCTCCCCACCAGCTCACTGACCCTTCCTGCTGACCGCTGGTTCCAGACCAGTGTCCTCCTCTCCCCATCAGCTCACTGACCCTTCCTGCTGACCGCTGGTTCCAGACCAGTGTCCTCCTCTCCCCACCGGCTCCACTGACCCTTCCTGCTGACCGCTGGTTCCAGACCAGTGTCCTCATCTCCCCACCAGCTCACTGACCCTTCCTGCTGACCGCTGCCTACGACATCCATTCACTTAGAAAGCAGACTAGTGAACACTATTTTGGAAACACTCCCTTGTTTTCTCGTAATTCTTCTGATGCTTTCTCGGTGAGTGTCCAGCTTGCAAGGCCTTTCCTGGCCACTTGGTCTCAAAGTGATGTCTTCTCTCCCTAAACATTTAGCTCCCCAGTTTTTGCCATCCGTTTGGTGCCTTGCCTTGACTTGGGAACTACACATCCTTAATTTGCTTAAATAACTCTTGTAGTTCATCTCCTGTGGTAAGTACATACATTACACCTAACAGTAGACAAGGAGTATTTTTACTGATTTCAGAGAGAGGAAGAGGGGTGGAGACATTGATGTGAGAGAGAAACATCAATCAGCTGCTCCCACACTTGCCCCAACCAGGAATCAAACCCACAACCTGGGGATGTGCCCTGACTGGGAATTGACCCTGCCACCTTTTGGTTAACAGAGTGATGCTCCAACCAACTGAGCCACACTGGCCAGGGCTACAGAAGGAATTATTTTACAAGTTTATCTGAAATGAAAAAACAAAGGTAAAATTGACATCTATCTTTGAATAAAAAATCTATTCACTCATCCTTCCCTGAACATATTTCCTGGCTCTGGCCCTCAGGTTTTTATGTTGTCTGCATTCTCAGGTCGATAGGAAGTAGCCCTAGTGATTCCCTTATTTTAGGAAACAAGAGCATGGACCCGTTGTTGAGTTTCCCTCCCCTACTCCCATCTAATCAGAGATGATTAAAACACGTGCTTCTTTCATTCACTCCAAAATCAAACCAGAAGTCTATGCCATTTAACGTAACGCGCACGCACGTTTATCTTAAACTGGCTATCGTTGAGCTTGAGTGAAAATTAGCCCTGGTTTCTCTGTGCTTTTTCAAAAATGACCTATTTTTTTCATTTCGTGATTATTTGTCCAAAAAGGCCTAAATGATAAGCCTATACAAGTATGTTCTTCACAGAAAATAACCGCACAGAACATTTGTATTCACTCTTCAGTATTCTCGTGTAAACTGACAAATGGCCCAGAACTGGGGTCCGAGCAGAGGAGCTGTCCTGCCGACTGAAGGAGGAGGAAAGAACATGCTCATCAGATGAGCGGAGAGGGTTCATGACGCTGGGGGCGGCAAGAAACCCTCACTCTGCTAGCTGCGCCTGTGTGGCTGCTGTTCTTTCCTAGTACATCGTAACAGTGGTCCTCTGAGCCCCTCTGGAGGTGAATGTACCATGTCCTGCTTAGCGGGTCCCAGCAGCCTGGTGCTTTGCACCACCGAGGGTGGTTGGACTGTCCCAGCTTGCACCAGTCACCTGTCCGCTTCTGGACACCTGGAGCCTGGGCCTTGGGAACCTTTTATCCACTGCGCTGTGGGTTCTCCTGTGTCTGCCCACTGATTTGGAAAACCTCGAGGACCCAGCAGATCTCTCCGTGAGCTGTTTGACCTTCAGTCTTGTCAGCCCCGCCTGCCACAAACCACGTCTCATCTGAGTTAACTAGCCCCTCCCACCTGCGCTTACCCCTCAACATGCTGGCAAACTGTGTGTCATAACCAGCTCGTTCTCTTCTCCGCCAACTCAAGCCTTGGGTAGAAATTGCCTTTGAAAGATATTTTCTCGGCGTTGGTTTTTTAAGTTCAGAAGCGGCATATGTGGCTTTATTTATGTAGTGTCATACAACAAGCTTTGCATACAGGTGTTTGCGTGACCACGGTCAGCAGCTGGCTGTGTGAAGGTGCCTGTTCTGTGGACCCACTCTGCAGAGGTGGTGTTGCAGCGTGAGCTTCTCGCAGAAGCAGCGCACGTTTGTCACCTACACTTTCGGTGCAAGAACGGGAGCACATAGGAGCAATTTCAAGTCCCAAGGACAAGGAGCCCGCTCTTTGAGCCTGACAGAGAAAAGCTTGCCACACCTGTGGGAACCTTGCTTCCTTGCTGTCAGAGGGGAAGGGAATTAGATCCTTGAAACCGATGTGAACTCATTAGATTCTGGTACAATCGGTCGTAGTCACTTCGCTCTTCCCCTTTCTGTGACACAGTCAGACCTACTTGTGATCCTCAGCTTAGTGGTTTCTTGGTAACGGGACCTCTTGTCACAGCCCTGCAGAGCCTGCTCAAGCTTGCAGGTTATTGAGCCCCCCTTTCCCCTCAGTGTTTATTGAGCACCTGTGTATTAGAAGTGATTGGCCGATTGACTTTCCTGATGTATGCGGACCAGTGACTAGCCCGGCTTTGTTTTGCAGGCCATGCCGAGGGAATGCCTCTAGACGCAGTCACCTCCACACCCAGGCCACCTTCCTCGGCTCGCCTGTTCTGGCCACCAGCTGCCTTAAACATTCACACCACATCGAATGTCTTCTTCTGCAGTGCAGTTTTTCCTGTTTGCTTTTTTACACTTGGATGAATGATGTGCCTCCTTAGTCTCCCTGTGCTGACGCCGTCAAGTGTCGAGGTGCTCTTCTGGGAAACACGGCTCTCTCCTCGGGACCCGTGGACTTGGAGATGGCCGCTGCCTGCTCGCGATACGGGAACCAGTGACGTGTCTAAAAGCTGTCACGAGGCCGTAAGACTCCAGTGCGGCAGCAAACAGGAGAGCATGTTCAAGGGGAGATCTGTCCCAACAGAATTACACCAAAGCCTATTTTCAGAGTGAATTTCTTCTGCCATATTTTGGAATAAATTATTTTCCTGCTTTCTATGGAAATCTGGTGTTTGTGGTTTGTTAAGCTCATTTTTATAAGCCTTTCTGTCTCCAGATAATGCCTTTTAAAAAAGGCATTGCAGTTCAAACTCAAGTTGAATGTACAAAACAGTGCCTGAAGAGACTGGTAAGTATTTTTCTTAATCGTTCAGGGAACATTTGAGGGCCTGCTCTAGCCAAGGCTCTGGGGGAACAGGAGATGTGGAAACGGGTCTGTGCAAGCTCAAGAGAGCAGGTACGGTGTTTTGAGAGGACGGTCAGCCATGTTTGACCATTGTCCATAAAAAACGGGACTTATGATGGTGAGCAGGTGGCAGGTAGCAGGTCGGTACCAGCCACAGGGACAAGTCGGAACCAGTGGTTCATTGTACCATCATCACACCCTCAGACCTAGGACTGAAGAAACCCAGAGTGATGGAGAAAGCCTGGCACGGGGGCATTAATTCTTGATAGCAAGTGTCTCAGTAATTCACTGTTTGGGGGCCTTTATTAGTCTTAAGAAATTAAAAATTAAAATGGATCTAAATTTTCACCAGCTCATGGCTTTTTGACAGCCAGCCAAGAATGGATTTCCTGTTTTGCAGTTTGTACTTTTCTATTCCTCCCAAACTCTCTGAACTCATTGCTTTGCTATTCTCATGACCAAAGAGAGTTTCAAGTTGAAGCGGCTCTCCTGCTGTTATTTCTTTCCATTCTGTACTTTCGTTTTGAACGCGAAGTTTTCATGAGTGTTGGGCAATCCCGTACTTGACATCTCCAGCAAAGGGGCTTGTTTAGCTAATTTCATGGAATCCATAAAACAGTGACGACTTGATGCCAAAGGGACCATAGTGGTACATGCTAACCCCATTGATTTATAGATGAGGGATCGGAGCCCAGACGGGGAGAATCACGTGCCCAGTTCAATGCAGCTGGTTCAAAGCAGATTGGGGAGTAGGATCCATGTTTTCAAATTCCCACTCTGCCCACTTCTCACTCGCCAACCTGCCTTGCTCAGTTGCTTTGGCCAGGAGCCAACTCTGGATCTTGGGTGGGAGAGGAGAATTCTGCTTTGTGGATGACCAAGCTGTCTCCCATCGGAGCAACTTACTTGACCCTTAATCAGTGTTTGTCATCTAAGAAAGCAGTGCTGGTGGTTACTGTGGCCACATAGGATGCCACAGTCTCTGACCGCAGCGGGAAGTGTGACTCCAGCACACGCTAACCCTAACCCTGGCAGGTCATGGTCGAGGTAGGGGCACTTCCCCTGAGTGTTGCTTTTGCCTGCCTTGAGTTCAGCACGCAGCGGTAGCTCTGGGGAGCCCTCGGGTTCAGCACGCAGACCTGGGCCGTGTGGAGGGCTGCTTGGGGGCTCTTCTCATTCAAGATTACAGTTTAGCACATTGCCACTTCAGTGGCATAGTTGAAGGCAGAGGACAAAACCCTGGCTGATCCAACCCCCTGAATTCTGCCTCATTCTGTCACTTTGTACTGATCCATTTTTCTGCCTCTCGTGTGATCTAAGTTAGACATTGGGAAGTTGACTGGGTTACGTTGCTTTATGCACTTGGGCTTGCTTGCCCCTTGGCGGGATCTGATTCCTGTGAGTGTTGACTGCATAGGGATGGGAGCTGGTGCTGTGCCAGGGAGAGCGGACCATCCCCCAGAACAGGACTTCAGGCCCAGTCAGCCTTCTAGGGAGGAAAAAGATCCTAATGAAGCAGCAGCTCAGACCCAAACTGGGACTTATTTCTAATGATGCCCTAATGGGCTCAGCATAAGGCCTATGAAGAAGAGCTGATTTTCTAGCCGAATTAGAGATCAAAGACCTTCCAGAAAGACTGAACGCAAGCTCCTAAAGGCCAGGTTCTGCGTCACCACCCTGCTGCATTACTGTTGTTGAAATGAGGGGCTGATGAAATCAACTCAGATTTCTGGGAGGGAAACTCAGTGAGATCCCTTTGCCCAGGGTCACGTGACCCTCGAGCCTGTTTCATTTCGGAAACTCTTGAGAATAGTAAATGCAAATGAATAGGTAAATTTAGATACATGTTTTCTCACCTCATCCCTAATAATCGAACCATTCATTACAACGTGACCCTGCATCTGAGATGGGTGCTTGTGAATCGTTTCCTTTCACAGTTCCCTTGCTCTGGTGCCGGCTGGGGCTCAGGCTGGAAGGAGCTCCATCCGGCCTTTTCAAAGGATGCTGGAGAGGCCTCGTTCCAAAGCCTATCCAGGTGGACGTGTGGTGGCCTTGTGGGGTGATCGTCAGACTAGGAGAAGCCCTACCTGTGTAGTCTTATTCCATTCCTCACTAGCTATGTAACTTGCGGCAAATCATTTCATTATTGAGCCTTAGTTTTTTCTTCTGTAAATTGGGGATAATACCTGCCCTTTCTGCTATACGAGATTGTTACCAAAAGAGATGTTGATGGCGAAGATGATTTGTAAATTATAATGATACACAAAGGCTACCTCCCAAAGAAATGACAAAAATCCGTGGAACCCGCTAACAGTCCTTTTTTTTTAAAATTTTATTTTTGACTGTACATTTCAATAAAGATAAGTCCCAGGGGAGCAGCCCACTGAGTTTTTTTGTACATCTGGTTTCCCTTTTGTACTTGGATTACAGAAAAGGTAAAGGTACGTACCAGGCTCCAAGCCTGATCTCTGACAGGGAGATGGATCTCTTAGAAACAATCATACATTAAGTGTCTGGACTGTGTCCTTCCAGGTTCCACCAGCTCTTGTACCAGAATGGGAGTATTTCTGGCATGCTTTCAAAGATGTAGTTTGCAGGGCCATTGGCGTCTTACATTGTTTTTGTTGTTTTCTTTAAACGTATACTGATTTCTGCACCCTTACCATTGACTTAGCGATTATTCTATCTTCCTTTTGGTGTTGCTTCAGAAGGAGCAACCTTTTTTATTCATTTCTCTAGCCACTGTTTCAGCAGTGGTAAGTGCCCTGCCGTACAGAGGCAAAATGAGAATCGAGAAATTATTGTAAATTGTTTCTCAGACTCATGAAATTTTTGGCTCTGGATTTCATGTTCCAAAAATTGCTCCTCTGTTAACTTTATTTAAAGTATCTTTTAAAATACCTGCCTAGGCATTTTAGAATGGTCTCATTAACCTATCCGGCTATGTGAGAGCTCTCCTCTGTTTGGAAGACAAATCTATTTAAAATGGATATGGGCTCTTAACAGTTATGTTCCTTTTCTCCCTGCCCCTTTATTTCAGCTTTCTCTCAAGAGCTGAATGAGATGAATTGTAGAAAATTCAGAATTTTCAAAGGAAAGAAAAGCACAATGAAAGTACCACTGTAAAGGATATTTTTCATAGCACAGTTACTGGAAAGCAGCCTTAATGCCCAACACGAGGAGATGCTTAAATAAGTCGTGCTGCATCTGAATGAAGAAGCATCGTAGTGCGTTTCATTATTTTTCCCCCAGAATATATGCCTTGAAAAGACAACAAAGCTCTTAACATTGCCTCTGGATGGTAACTGCAAATTATTTTAATTTTTTTTTTCAGCATTTTCCCCAGGGAAAATGTAACACTTCAGTAAAAGGAAACAATGAAGAGTTACATTACTAACCACGATAATAGAATATTATGTTAAGGGAGAGAAAAAACAGGATTTAAAACTTATGTACACAGCAAAAATCCTGGTAGGAAAAAAAAAGACCAAAATGTTGATAATGATTATTTCTTTTACAACTTTGTGTGTTTTCCACAAAGAGTATGTGTTACTATTATGATCAGCAAAATAATGATGTATTTTTTGGGGGTGGGGGGTGACCAATAATAACGTTAGTACTTCCTTCAAACATATAACACACACACACACACACTTTTCTTAGAAAGAGTAATTCAGGGTCAGGGGAAGTGAAGTCAGATTTATTCAAACACTGAAGCTATTCTGAATCAATGAAAATTAGCACGTTCACACAGCAGTTCTGATGAACTGTTGCCATTGTGCAGGGCAGAGCACAGCTTATAAAACTGGCCTCCTTTTGTGTAGGTGCTCATAGCGGCAGCACCATGAAATGAAAAGGGAGCATTGATTTGGATTCTGCCCACATGGAAAAGTGGAAGCCTGGGGTATTAATGTTCTGGGGTGCCGCATGGGTTAGAAAAAGCCCCACTGTTCTACTCCCACCTGCTCCAAGCAAGTCTTTCATTCAGGTTGTGTCGCTGCTTCAGTGAAAACCCCCTCCTTGTGAAATGTATTGGCCCTTTTTCCCCCCAACTCCTACTCCCTGCCCCTCAGGCCAACTCCCAACAGGGGTGTGCTAGTGGCTGAGGATGCTCTGCCACTAACACCTCCCTCTACCTGGAACACCTTGCACCCTTCTTAACTCAGCCAGCTGACGCCAGGCTCGGGCCCTGGGGATGCTCTCCCACCAACTCCCTCCACACCCCTCTGGGCTCCCTCAGCATCCTTTGCTTACTTCTGTAATCACTACTGTATAATTTACAGGGTTTTTCCCCCTGGGGCTGCAGAATCTCTGGCTTATTCAAATGTTTGAGCCCTGCAACCTGGCACAGTCGGTGCTCAGGCCGGCTTCAGGTGGAGCTGACTGGTTGCAGGGGCAGCAGGACGGAGCTGCAGTCCGCTCACCAGGACTCCCGCAGCCAGAATACTCCTGGCTTGAGCCTGAGTGACAGGGCTCAGGGTGTGCAGCCCAGCAGGAGCCCAGGTGGGCACTGAGTCGTGGGGGCTGAGCAGACCAAGGCCTCCACCTGGATCTGCCCCTCCTAACAGGATAGAATCCACAGTTGGCATTCAGGTTTATTAATGTACTTTATGTCTCACTGTGACTAGAGTCTGATTACAGGTACAGAACATCACACCCACTTCCCCATCTCACTCTTGGGCTGGGCTTTGTGAAAACAGTGACACCTCACAACGTGGCCACCATCCCTGGTTGTGCTGTAGATCCAGGGAAATGTATGACCTTGTGAACATCTTGGTGGGGGGCCGGGGGGCATAGATACAAAGGACCCTTT